TTAAGACATCAATAATGCTGACTTTATGCTTATGGAATGTTTTTTCAGCTCACCCTGTTCCATTATCAAAAGAGACTGGCAAGTTTCCTGACATAGTTGGGACCATTTTCTGATTTCACAGAGTTTTGTGGCTGAAAGGGAATTTGAGAGGTCGTCTGGTCTGCCTAGAGGTAGGGACAGTCTCAAACTCAAAGAAAAAAAACCCTCCTTTGTGATGTCTCCCGAAGAAAGAGGTTTATATCCAAGCCAATCTTAAGAGTTCTCACTGTTGGGATAAACTTCTTCGTTTTAAACACAGCAAGTGTCATAAAGGGAGACTACTCGTTGGGTTTCTGTGGACACAGACTATACGCCACATTTTTCTGTCTAGGATTCCTTTGTAAATATGCCACACTATATATTTTTCAATATTCTTTTTGGTATAGTACTGGAATTTATTTTCAGTGATTATCCTTTTTTCCCTCTGTGTCTTTAATTAAATATACAGCTCCTATCATCTTGGACTGGGAAATCTACATCTTATAAATGCCTTTGTCAACTTGGCATATACGCAAGCATTCTACTTTATGTATTAATCTATGTATTGCTTATGTCATTAGGGTCCTTGTAAATCTAATATTTCCTTGGATTAGAAACCTTGTAGAGGGGCTGGCTCGGTGGTACAGCAGTTAAGTGTGCACGTTCTGCTTCGGTGGCCCAGGGTTCACTGGTTCAGATCCCAGGTGCAGACATGGCACGGCGTGGCAAGCCATGCTGTGGTAGGCATCCCACGTATAAAGTAGAGGAAGATAGGCATGGATGTTAGCTCAGGATCAGTCTTCCTCAGCAAAAAGAGAAGGACCGGCAGATGTTAGCTCAGGGCTAATCTTCCTCAGGAAAAAAAAAATGTTACCTATAAAAAAAAGAAACCTTGTAAACATCAGTTATATTCTATATCACCTTTCCCAGAAAGCATATAGAAGAAAAATTGATCAATACCTTTCAATGATGATGTAGGATCATAGTAGTATGACTTTTTTTTCTAGAGAGTATGTAATCTGAGTATGACTCTGACACTTAAAGTAAGGCCATTGGGCTAGTCACTCAATGGTTTTCAGGGAGATATCCAAGAAGGGCTACCTTACTTAGTCTTAAAGAAAACAGACTTATTCTCTTTTTTTAATAATAGCAGAACTGTTTGTAAGCATCAGCTTTAATCCATCCCGGTAAACTCTCCATACTGAGAAACAAGAGATAAATTGTCCCAGATATTAAGACAACTGTGTCATTATTCTGATTTAGTGAAGACCAGTGGGTGGACCAGCCGCTTCCCTACCCCAGCGATTCACTGTAACCTAACAAAAGGAAAGAAAATGCTGAATCATTACCCTACTCTTATTGATGTAGATAATACCAACTTGTACTTGAAAAAAATAAATCTGTTGGTTTGACCAACTTTGTCTCTGAGGTACAACATTATGAACAAGATGCCCACTGGAAATAGGAAAGAAATGCCACCTCAGCGTCCGAAAGCACAGCACATTTTTTGAAAGTGTGACTTACAAACCATCCAAAACTTTCCACCTGGGATTCAAAGTTGGCAAGAACCAGAACCTCAGCTTTCTTCTTTTTTTCTGTTCTCTATTTCGCAGCTCTCATTTCTCAGTGTTTATTATCGTTTCACCTGCCTGGAAAGGGGAAATGTGAGCACTATGATAAATGACCTGAAAGATGATTTAGTTTCCCTCCAGCATTTTTCTTTAAGAATCTTTGGGTTTTTCCATGAAATACAATTTGCCAAACTTCTCTACCAAAGCTCAAAACCGAAGAAAGGAAGTTTGATGAGAGGAGTATTGCCCATATGTTAAGGTCCTTAAGGTTTAAGGGGGAAAATTTTAGCAAGGGAATTTCATGATATACATATACACACAAAGTAACTCCTTTAGTGAAGGCAAGAAAGGTTAAATAAAACACTGAAGGCCATTTAGTGAGTGTGAACTCAGTATCTGGTTTGACGTGATCCTTCTTCAAGTTACATTAATGCCTTTCTTGCTAAGTGGATGTAACAGTCACGATTCCAATATTGCACTTCAGCTATGATTTGGAAAGAAATAATGTCTCAGGATAAGGTATTTTGTAAGGCCAGTCTTCAAAATTGCAAAATAAAGGAACTGGTTTTATAATGTTTCTCAGTAATAATCTGACCTGGATATATGACACATCTTCATACAAAAGATTTCAGAGCACCAACCTGTATACAACCACTGTGTCTTTTTGGACACAATGTACATGTGCCCCAGCTAAGTCATGCCCATCTGTGGGAGGCAATGCTTTTCACAAATGCCGCATTGGTTAAATGATGACCAAAAGACCCAATGTCATATCCCAACACATTTTTCTTGCTCACTGTAGGATTAAAAGTTTCATTCTCTGAGGACGGATCCATTTCTTGTTAGTATGACATCAAGCTAATTCAGACATGCATGTTGTCTTATTTAGACTATTACAGTCGATTCAAACTTGGCAATAGGAAAATTGTGACAAATGCCAAAGACGTTCAAAGGATAAAATGGCTAGAACATGTGTTACAAGGATACCTTAGTTTGAACCTGGACTTTTGGGATCATGATAGTTTCGGTTGGGAACAAAATAGTTTAGGCTGTTGGGTCTACATTGGGGCATGTGGAGAGCAAAATGCCAGTGGGACATCCAGGTGGGATAGATGACCAACCTGCAGGTAGAAATGCAGACCCAGAGTGTGGAGGAGAGATATGAAGTCTGTAGATATAAGTAAAAGATGAGGTTTGATGAGCTAACGAAGACAAGTGTTTAGAAGAAGAAAGAAGCCTGAAGACTCAACCTTGTAACACAAAAGCTATTTAAAGGACTATGAAATGAAGATGAGTCAGTCAGGTCAATGAAAGAAAAGAGCTCGCAATAGTTTAGAACAACTCAGGAAAGTTCAACGGTGCAGATGGAAGCTAAGGGAGGCCAAGTTCAGTAAATAGAGGAGAATAAGGCTTGAGGAAGGATCACTTGATCTGGAATCTAAGAGATCACTAGTGATCTGTAAAAGATAAAAATCAGTATTTAGTAGCATAGCGCAGGCAGAAACTGGGTTGCAATAGTAACATAGCTTGGACTGACATAGCTCTGTGCTGGAATTCTCTACTTATTTAGCTCTGTGTTGAGTACTTTCTATTCCTAAACTCATTTAATCTTGATAGTAGCACTTTGAGGTAAATACTGTATTATCCCCATCTCATATCCCCGTGATACTGTATTATCCCTGTGAGGCATCTCCTTCAAGATGAGTACTGCTATTACCTGATGACAGATAAGGAAACTAGGTACAGAGGTCTGAACAATTTGCCCAAGCCCATACAACAAATCAATACCAGATTGGCCTTTGGACCCAGGCAATGTGGCCTGAGCATCTGTGCTCTCGACCACTACACCACCACATGATGAGGGTGCACATGGGATGATGTAAGCTTTCTTTTAAGATGCTTAGTGGAAGGAGAAATAACTCCTTAAAAGAAAATGAGCTCAGAATGTGGGCCATGGTCTGGGAGATTCAAGAGAAATGACAATTCCAGTGGCAGGAATGAGGCAAAGCAGGAGGTTATGACATGAGGGGTTTTGAAATTAGAGAGAGCTGCATTTGGCATGAGATGGTCACACATGTATGCAGATTAGTTCGTTGGCTTGCCGTCTTCTTTGGCCGTGAGCTAAGACGATGGTGCCAAGTGCAGCAGAGAGAGTTGGGTAGCCCAGAGGGATGCTTGGGGAGCTGCTAGAATGAAGACTTGCAGGCAGCGCTAGGGACCAAGGGCAAATAGAAGGTGCCAGTGCAAACAATGGCTCTGGTCTCTGCTTTATCTTCACTCTTTGCTCTTTTAATTTATTAAAATTTTCTTTTGGGGAGGGGAAATAGGGAAATGCGTGTTAAAATTTGCGTTTGAATGATGCAAGCTGTCACCAATATTGGCACATTAAAACAATAACGCATTCTCTAGGCTATTGAAGATTTACTCAATAAAGAGATACCATGAGTGGGACCATCTTTTTATAAGAATGATGCTGGTCTATGTAGTTAGGATTAAAGAGAACTCTAAAAAACCCACAAATAAAAAAAAATGATGAGCAAATACACAAATTATATTTTCAATACTTCTTTAATTCACAGGATTAACTAAATAATGAGCTTTCGCTTTGATTATGAACACCAGTAAACAAATGTTTTCATTTCTACAGGTACTTTTAATTGCTGAACAAATCTCATAGATCCACCACCAAGTCAGGTTAATTCAACACTTCTATGTGCAACACTTCTGTTTAAGACAGGTGTCTTAATTAAATAAACTAATAATTTTGCAAGGAGAAGTACAAAAGCATAATTATCTAATTTGCTAATTGTTCAACTATGTTTATTTGCATATTTGTTAGCTGCAACGTGAGCAAATAGTTTGTATGTGTGTATCCTACCATTAAAATAATGAAACCACTCTTGAGAGTTGCATTTCCCAAAGTGTGTTAATCGATGTCCCATAAAAAGGACTCTCTAGTTAAGTAAGGTTGAAGAATGTGAAGTTAAAGAAAATTAAATAGTTTTGTTTCTGCAGGAGGTCCAGGATCCTGGAATGGGACAATATGCATCTCTACTATCAGATAGACTGTGCTCTGCTTTATTAACTATATGTGGAAATCCCCCTTTGTACGGGGAAACATTGCAAGGCACTAGCATTCTGAGGAACGCATTTGGGAAAATGCTGTTTAGAACCCTCTTAAGAATAAGTTGGTCTCACAATTTTTTCTCACTGGTCACTTCATTCTGCAATCAGCACACAAGGAAATGAATTAAAGAGGCAGATGTCTTCGTTTTCTCTCTCTCTGTCTGTGTCCCTATCTCTCTCTCTCTTATACACACACACACATTCACACACACACACGCACACCCAATACCTTTTGTAGCTGCTTACGGTAAACATGCAAACCTCTCCTTTTCCCTTTTGTTATAGGCATATTGACAGGCTTACTACCCTTCAAAAACTATGCAGTAACCCTGACTGCATGCACTTTGGCTGGCTGTACTGAGAGCTCCCAGGCATTGAACATTTCTACTCCACAAGAAGGTAAAGTAATTTCAAAGGTCTTGACTTCCACATTTCAGTCATGAATAATAAAATAGGAGAAGAGCTAAATGCTGCAAGGCCATTTGCTGGCAAACCCCAACCTAATTTGATGACAAAGTGCATTGCCAGGCCATAATTGCTCCATTTTTGGGGGGGTGCGAAAATGAATCAAACCCCATACCCTTTAATGACATGCATCTTTAATAGCTGTAATGCAGATTAATGGGCTTTTTAATTGCTGTTACATTGTTCATGCAAGAGCCTTGTCATTAATATGAAGCATCTGAAAGATTAATGAAAGCTTCCTCATTTTACTATGGCTCAGAAGTAAATCTAGAGACAGTCTGACTAAAAAGAATTGATTGTATGGCACAGTATGAAATTGAGAATCAAACGGTTGATTTCCATGGTCTCTTTTAACTGCTAAACACCAGCACAGGCAACAATTATTTCAGTATGATGGAACCTCCAAATGCCAATCAAGGCATTATTAATCATTGCTCGGTTCCTTCCGACTTAAGTCGCACTTTTGTCGTACTTGAAACTTACAAACTGTTGGCATAAATTAATGTTTCAGAAAGCCTACATTAAGGAGGCAGTGAGAAAGGGAAAATATTTTAACACTCCGAGTGTAATCTTTGCTCAAGCATCAGAATGCATCACTTCCAGAAATAACAGCTCTCGAAATATTTGAAGCATTGTTACTTCATATTTCTCTCTCCCAGAATAGGGGAATTACACATTTCTTTTACTATCTACTTGTCAAGTTATTTAGGAGATTTGAAAGCTTGATCTTTAGGGAAAAAGAGTCAGCTAGTCTCTCCCCTTCTCCAGACCCATCCATCCCCCTTTCTCACTCCCTCTACTTTCCCCCTCTCCCTCTTTGAAATCCTCCAGCAAGTACCACTTGTACAGAAGATGTGTTAGAGAAAGACAATGGCCCGTATGCTGAAACCGTGACAGGATAAAGGAGTTTGTGAAATCCTTCTTGTGACCCTTTATTCTCTATGCTTTGCCCTTGACCTAACCAACCCCCTCACCTGGACTGCACCGTCAGTGACCCATCTCCAGCGTTTTCTCAATGTTCTCTCCGTCTAGTCTACCGAGAATAGCACTCTTTCTTAATGTGTCGTTGCTTCTGCTGGGGCACATGATCATCATGCCCGTTTACAAATACAGTACTTCCACCAACTTCCATATGGGACAGATGGTCCTATACCTCTCATTATTTTCTCTACGTTCACTGCATCCTCTGTCCAAGTTTTTACTGGTGACCTTCAAATCTACTTCACAGTTATACCCCAGAGGCACTCCTACTTGTCCAATTCACCATTTCCTTTCCATTAATTATGGAATTCCCAGTTTCTAGTTTTTCCTTAAATTTATTGCCAATATACTGAACGATAGGTATGTTTAGGGTCAATTGTTATGAGCTTTCTGTTCCTATGACTCCAATTCATTGACCATGACAGCAAAGGAACAGAACTCCTTTTTAAAAAAATCTTACACACAGTGTAGTTTTCATATATAATTAATTACATTGATTCTGTACTTTCTGGCTATTTCTATGGTATGGAGAGGTTTTTTTCTAGCTATTATGAACCACTTTCACCAGCGTTGTCTGTCTTAGATCAAAAGCTCATCGAGGGTAGGGATGTTATCTGTTTAATTTGTTTTAACAGGCACCAAGTAGAGACTATGGGTTAATAATACTTTTGATGAAGTAACGCAAGCATCAGTCAAGTGAACTGGTGTAAGAACTCCCCATCCATCACTGATGCAAATTCTCATAAATTCAGGACAGTTATTTAGTACTGTTCCTAAAGCAATTACTGACAAGCTGCCCACGAATCAGGAACATTTCCATGCTTGGGATTTCAGGTTTATTCCATGATTTATTGGTTTGGGCTTGAAAAGTTTAAATTAGAAAAGTAAACTAAAATTAGACTCTATAAATCTTTTTTTTGCCCCCAGCTCCACAAGACGTTCAGCCACCAGGAGCCAAATCTCTTCCCAATTCTTTGTTACTCTCTTGGAATCCACCCAAAAAAGCCAATGGGATTATAACTCAGTACTCTTTATACATGGATCGGATGCTAATCTATTCAGGCAAGGAAGAGAACTACACAGTCACAGGTAAGACTTGTATAGGCATCAGCAAGTAGTTATAATATTTCTGATATAATATCTATAATAGTTACAAATATATATATATAATATGTAAATAATGAGATAGATAATTGCAAATCGAAAATATATATATATATTTCAGATAATTATATTCTATAGTTATCTGAGAATTTGGTTTTAAAAATCATGGTACTGGGGGCCGGCCTGGTGGTGCAGCAGTTACGTTCGCATGTTCCGCTTCAGTGGTCTGGGTTCTCCGGTTCATCCCACGTATAAAGCAGAAGAAGATGGGCATGGATGTTAGCTCAGGGCCAGTCTTCCTCAGCAAAAAAAAGAGGAGGATTGGCACCGGATGTTAGCTCAGGGTTAATCTTCCTCAAAAAAGTAGATAAATAAATAAATAAAAATCAAGGTACTTATTTTTGTCTCTTGCTAATTGCTAAAATTCCATGACCTGTAGGGTTACATTACACTTATGGTGAAACCAAACTGAAAAACTGGAAAAGGCCTCCTGTTGCCTCCCCTGCGCATCCCCCAAGGCTTTCTTACTGTGTCTTCTCTCCTGTAGACCCCCCACTCCTTACCCAAGTCCTTTACTAACATACCTTTGCTCAGGTGCAGGGGGCCTTGGAAATGGACCAACACAAAAAGCCCAGCATATGACTCCTCTGTGTCTAACTCATCACAGGATTGAAGCTGGGACCCAGTGTGGTCCCCGGTCACTCACAGTGCCCGGTTGAGTTAATGATGTCATTTCAAACAAATTCTGCTGTCACATGAGCTAACTACTTTAAAACCCTCATGAATGTGGAATAATCTAAAGACTCAGAAGAGGGATTCAGTGAGCTCTGAATTTTAGATTATTTGAGAAGAAACATAGTATATATGCCTGGGTCATATTATGAAGTGTGATGACATTTAAGTAAAAAGAATTGTTGAAAACCTTGTGAAAGACAAGAGGCTGCCATTACATATGTTGTCTGGCATCTGAATCGTGTTTATATTTGTACAGTAATTATAGTGGTTGTTTATTTTATTTTATATACTATATGTGACTATCAGATGAAACATCGTTAGTCAAATATTGATTGTTGAAAAAACTTAGGCCTAGAGATATTAAATTCTTCAAGAAAGTTCACAACAAGTTAGAATCAGAGGCAGGATTAATTATATGTCTTCGCCCCTTCACAACAATGCCAGTTACTAAGGTTATAACAAGGAACCAGCCAGACATTGTCCCTCCTCTCTTGGCATTCATGACTTCATGGGGACACAAACAGATGCAAGTATGAGGCATTTTTGGACAGGGCCATGGCATTCATCCAATTGCATTCTCAGGGTTTCCATAGTTTGCGTCCTCTCTAGTCTGAGAACCTTGAGAGGACAAGAACTATTGCTTTCATGTTTTACTCATCATGGTTGGATAGAATTCTGGAATTTGCATTCTATGAGGTACATATTATCATTTCCCCCATTTTACAAATGGGGAAATTGAGGCATAAAAAGGGTAAGTAGCTTCCTCAAGGTCACACAGCCTGTGAGTGTTAGACATCGATCCCCCCGCCAGCATTCGGCTATGATGAAGAGGATGTGGTCTTAAAACAAGTTGCTTAACTTCTGAGACTTAGTTTCTGAACTGTAAAGTGGGAATGACTACAATTTTCAAGATTTTGAAGAGAAATAGAGCTATATATAAAACACCTAGCATGTTCTTAGCACTTGGTAAAGAGAATAGAATTCTCCTGTAGAATGCAGAGTTCATATTATAAACCAAAAAAAAATAGATTAACCTCGCCCTAACAGCATCTGAAGGCACTTTTTAAAAATTATAGGCCACAGAAATTATTTCAGAAGAAATAAAAATACATCATGAAATGAACTTTACACATGTGTTAATAATTGATATACAAAGCACTTCTGTAGGACCAAAATGTCTCATCATGCATAACGGGAAAGCACACCATGCAGGCCCAGGGTAGACATTTCTCCTGAGAACCCTTCTCTGACTCCCCAAGTATGAGTTAGGTATGCCCCCTGTATGCTCATTGAACACCTTTATCCCCTCCACTTTTTTGTTCATGTTGTCTTGAATAAGGCTGCCTTTTCACTTGTCAGTTTGCCCTAGTAAACCATAAGTGTCCTAAGGACCATATCTGTCCTGTTCATTACGGCATCTCCAGGACCTATAGCAGAGCAGGCGGCGAATAAACAGTGTTGAGTAAATTAATGGATAAAATCAGAACACTGCTGGGAACAAAGAAAGAAGACAGCGAAGGAGAACTGGTGGAGGGTAAGAGAAGGGTGAGAAAAAAAGAACAACAGAGAAAAGAGAAAAAGAAACAAAGATCTCTTCCATGGTGTGGGAGCAAATACTGACCCAGTCCACAGGGAAGTAGTGTGGCCTATGGCAGATCTCAAACTGCGGGCCTTGAATATTTACACTGAGCAAAGCCAGAAGAAGAGCAGTGTGAGGAGAGGAAGATATAATTCACACTGGCTTCTCATACCACCTACAAAATGATACTAATTCTGGATTTTGTTTGATTGACATTAACAGACCCATGTGACTATATCTGCAATGAAAGATCGTGGCAAATGTTACTATAGCGGATGAGTACAATAGATGCCCAAAATATAACATAAAGTAAAGGAAGTGGAATATTTTTATCACGCCCATAACTATTTTCTCTAGCTACAGTGGTAGGTTCTTCAATGGTTTTTGTTCCTTATGTAGATTTTTAAAGATTCTATCTCCGATATCACTCATAGCATCTTATTTCTATAGACTTCTTGGCTTCTCACAAGCGACTATATTTCTTGTTGCTCTCACCCGCAAAGGCTGAAGACATGAAGGACGCTGGGACTGCGATATTGGTCACTAAGGAGAGGAACTGAGCCAAGAACGTTATGGTGGGGTTCAAAGTTGTACATGATAGTTTTAGTTAGTAAAACTGAGGCCTAGAAGGGTCAGGAAATTTTAGTCAGGAATTGGAGGAACTGATCCAAATCTGGGTCTGTCTGGCCTCAAAGTCCACGCTTTTAATCTCTACACTTTCTACTTATTGAACATGTATTATTTTATTTTTCCTCACAACAACTCTGAAAGGGAGACAGGAGCTTGAATACAAACCCCAGAGCATCTGTATTAATCTTCTAGGGCTGCCATAAAAAAATACCACAGACTGAGTGATTTAAACAACAGAAATTTATTTCTCACAGTTCTGGGGCTAGGAGTCCAAGATCAAGGTGTTGGCAGGTTTGGTTTCTCTGGAGGCCTCTCTCCTTGGCTTGCCGACAGCTGCCTTCTTGCTATGTCCTCACCTGGCCTCTCTTCTGTGTATGCACCCCTGCCGTCTCTTCCTCTCAGAAGGACACCAGTCCTACCGAATTAGGGCTCTACCCTTATGACCTCATTTAACCTCAATCACCTCTTTAACAACCCTATCTCCAAATATAGTCATATTGGGGGTTAAAGCTTCAACATGTAAATTTTGGGGAGCACAATTCAGTCCATGACAGAGCCCCTAAAGTGAGTGCTTTTTAGAGACCCCAAATTTCATGAGACTTGAATAAAATGGCCTCTAAGATCCCTTTGAACTCTAGGATTTTATACTTGTGATATGCACTAAATTCAGGTCATTTATGTCTTCAAAGTTGACCTGTCCACTCCGAATCACAGAGAAGGCACAATGGCAAAGGGAGTCTGTCTGTCTGAAGTCAGCAGGAAGAAACTGATGGGGGAAATAGCTCTCGCCATTGAGGAAGGCCCTTGTCTCTATAGACGCATTAAATCCATGCCATGTTTCATCGTCACCTCTATCTAGGATGATGAGGTGCTCATTGCTTGTCTTCATGTCAGGATATTTGTGACCTAATATCCTTTGCATGCTGAATGGTTTGTAGGTGGAACTTATATTCATGAGGGCCAGTGCCGTCAGTAATAGTGGAAGTTTAGGCCACTAACATGGCTCTCTACAGGGCTGAAGTGTCAATTCTTAGGAAGACTAAGAAATGGAGGATGCAGTCTGCTAGGTTAGAGAAATAGTTGATAACATTTTTTAACAATAAAAGTAACATATTGCTTATTGATGATAATTTAAAACAAATACATACCTAGTACCTGGATAATCCCACCATACAGATAGAAACCCAATATTTGATATAATTCCTTCTAGTACTTTACTGACTTTTACAGAATTGAGCTATAATGTACAGTTTTAGTTTTTTATAATGTATACTTTTGAATCCTTGCATATTCCCTTATTATGACTATATCTCACATCATTAAGCACTTTTCTAAAAATGTTTTTAATAACCTTATATTCCATCTTACGAATGTACATTAATTCATTTAGCCACTTGAACAATTCAAAAGTTTCTGATTTGTCTCTATTTTAAATATGTTGTGATAAATATTGTGTACGTAAATCTTTGTTTGCTAGATTCCTAAAAGGGGAACAGCTAAGTCAAAGGTAGTGAACTTTTACAGAATATTTGTCATACATTTTTGCGTTGTTTCCCAGAAAAGTTCATTAGCAGTGAATGTTATATTCTTAAATCTTTGATAATTTTACAAGTAAAAAATATTACCTTATTTTTATTTGCATGTTTACTAATTATGCTGACTACTTTTCTGTATGATTATTAGCCATTTATATTTTACTTTGATCACGGTCTTGATGAGCAAAAATTTAATAGGAGTGAGGGATAATTTTAAAACTTCTTCAAGAACTATGTTTTATGCCCCGTTTTTCCTGGTTAGACTCATCTGCACTATTTAAAATTCTTTGCCTTCTGCACTATCAAAAACTTCCTTAGTAACTTGGCTTAATATCCCCTCCAAAATATTCAAAATGTCGACTTTTTTTTCTCACTCCTACTCCAATTATTTGGAGCTCCCTTTTAAGTTTCCGAATAGAACCAACATTTTTCCGTTTATGCGTAGCGAATGGATCTTGCTGCCGTGGTGGATAGAGGAAAAAGTAAATGCATTTCAATTCAGAAGC